ATCGATCGGGGAGCGCTCCCCGCCCGCCGCCGAGCAACAGGAAATGGGAGTTGTTCTGAACACCGGAAAACGGGATGGATCTGAATCGTAGACTCGCAGGGTCACGGAATGGTTCGGGTTCCAAGGGGCTTTAAAGCTGAGTGTATACTGGGACACCTCTCGCAGGTTGCTCCTCAAACACTCCCAGCATTTCTCTGGGCAGCCTGTGTCCGAGCCTCAGCACCCTCACAGCGTAGAATTTCTTGTTAATATCCAATCTAACCCCGCTCTCTGTCGGGTTGGAGCATCCCCCCTTGCTCTGTCACTCCAGCCCTATGGGAATAGCCTCTCTCCACCTTTCCTGCGGGCTCCCATCAGGTACTGCAAGGCCACAATTAATTCACCCTGAAATCTTCTCCTTTCCTGGCTCAGCAATCCCAATTCTCTCAGCCTTTCCTCATAACAGAGGAGTTCCAGCCCTATAATCAAATTTTCTACCAAAAATTACAGGTACAGGTAAAGATCAGTTCAAAGCCTCCTCTGAACTGACTTTTACCTGTACCTGTAATTTTTATTCTCTGACAATCTTTGCGCTGCTCGAATTCCCAAAGGGGAGAAGCAGAGACAGAAAAAGCGAAGAGGAGCCATGGAAAGGTGCTGGAAGCATCATCAGGAGTCAGATAATTGCAGACATAATCAAGGCGTAATAAGAAGGTCCCTAATTCCTCAACAGGGTGACACAAGGTAAATTAATTACCCTGCCTCACATATGGTGCCTTTGAGAAGGAAGGAAATGATGGTCTAGAATATCTGCAACAGCCAGGCCTGGGTGTCACCTGCTCCGTTTGTGTGCCCTCAGCTGCCCCACAGGGCAGGGACAGTGTTTCACACGGATAATGACAGAGGGAGGTTTGAAATGCACCCAGACCCACTGCCGCAGTTTGTGAGCTCTGTGCTGGCTCCCTGCGGCCTTGAGAGAATCATTTAAAATATTTTAAATGATGTGCTGTGGCCTGGAGAGGTGTTGGGTACTGAGAAAATAGTTACCACACAACCTTCCCATGCCAATAATTATAAAAAACCCCTCTAAACTTGTATTTAGCCATGCTAAAGGTGAATTTTCCTTTTCAGCACCCTCACTGCTTTGGAAACAACCTGCTCCAGATTACAGGGGAACATCAGAGAGGGAATTTCACTTGTGCAGAACTGGGACAATGTGCTGGCTGTGAGGAGCTCCTGGATGGTGTCTGTGCCTGGAGATGGCAGAGGTGTTTTGTGTCCCTCTCCCCGTGCTGGGCTGTGCTCCTGTGCCACCCCAGAACAGGAATTTCAGGTCACTCAGGGAGTGGTTCTGCATTTCAAGTATTCTTGTCTGGCTGACCTCATCCAGTTTATCCCCAGAGAGCTTTCACTCAGAATTCCCATTTCTGGTGCTGATTTGAGCCTGACAAAACCCCTGTACTGCAAAACCCACTTCCCTCAGTTGCACTTTCTCAAAATTCTTACTGTTTTACATTTGCTACCCTTCAATGTTGATTCTTTTAGGATTTGAACAAAAACCTCCTTGATTTCCAGCTGGAACCTCTTTTGTGCAGCCCACTGCCCAGTGCTGCTGCACTCTGGGGCTGCAGGTGGAGAAGGACCCAGAAGGAAGCAGAAAAAGCAGCAGAAATCCCCAGGAACCAGAGGTGCTGTGATTTCCTTCAGCACCAAGCGCTGCCACGCATGAAAGCCGTGTGGGAAATGTTCCTGCTTTTTAATCTGTGCTGTTTGTAACCTCTGTGTGTGTCTGGGGTTTGTTCTTGTGTGCAGAGGTTGTGCCTGGCCAGGCAAGCCCAATTAACACCAGAGCTGAGAGCTAATTAAAACCAGCTAATGGGAAACAGCAGACCTTGGAAATGAGGGGGGATTTGGGGTGTTTGACAGTGACCCTGCAGCACAGAGTGCTCATTTGCTTTTTCTAACCTGCAGGACATCCTCCCTGCCCAGCTGAGGGCAGCTGTGATCCTGCTGACAGAACTTTGGTCTCAGCAGGTGCAAGGAACACAGAAAATAGGCCAGGCCATGACTGAGTCTGATGATCTGTGCTTCAGATCTGTCCTTTTTGAAGATGGGTTTTAGAAATTCACTTCCAGCCATCCAGACATCCCTTTCTACCCCTTTGAAGAGAGGTGCTAGGCAGATGAAGATGCCTGAAAAGGACTTTAGTAGTGGTTTGTATCACTCAGCAATGCTGGCATAAATCAGATTACTGCTGTAGACATCAGTGTTTGAAGGGCACTGACAGCAGAGTTTCAAAGGGAGGTGATTTGCATCATCAGAAAAAGATGTTTTCTGGGTAGATGTGTGTTTACTGCAGCCCTGCACTTTTCACCTGAGCTGCTCTGAGCTGGCTGCAGCCCCTGGGTGTTTCTCCATGGCATGAATCATTGGAGAGATTTGAGATACAGCTGTTATCAAACCCCCACTCTTCAGATGGGTTTCAGTTGGCGTGGAGCTGTTTGACCAGTTTAATCTGCACGGGAGAAACTCTCCTGTTGCTTGTGAAACACTCTGAAATCCTCTGGCAGTGTTGCAGGGAGAGAGAGCACAAGGGTGATGAGCAAAGCGCTTCTGAACCAGATAATCTGTCCTGGGCACGGACATATTTTCTGAAAAATCCTTTTGCTAGGTTTCTTCTCCTCAGAAACCAAATGTAAACAATGGTTTTCTTCTACTGTGGCATGCAACAGTGCTGGTGCATTTGTGATTGGTCTCATGTGGTTGTTTCTAATTAATGGCCAATCACAGTCTGGCTGTCTTGGACTCTGATCAGTCACAAGATTTTATTATAATTCCTTTCTATTCCTTTCAAGCCTTCTGATGAAATCCTTTCTTTTATTCTTTTAGTATAGTTTTAGTATATCTATATAGTATATATATAGATATAGATATAGTGTATATATATATATATTTAGTATATATATTTATCTAGTATATTTAGTATGCTATATAAATAAATATATATACTAAATATATAATATACAAATATATAATAACTATATATTTATGTAGTATATATATGATAAATATATATACTAAATATACTATCTATTTATATAGGATATTTAGTATATATATTTATTTAGTATGTTTTGTATATATATCTATTTTTGTATATATATCTATATATATCTATTTATCTATTTGTATATATATCTATTTGTATATATATCTATTTTGTATATATCTATATATATTTTTTCTTTTAATATAATATATATCATAAAATAATAAATCAGCCTTCTGAAACATGGGAGTCAAGATTCTCATCTCTTCCCTCATCCTCGCACCCTCAAACACCACCACAGCCTGCCACCCAAAACACGATGTCGCCCTGCACCCTTTATCCACCTTTCTCCACCCAAACCCCGAAACAAACCAATGCGAGCTGCTTCTCCATGGTTTTATTCGTTAGTAAACTTACTCAGCATAAATAAGAGCATGTCCCTGCAGGGGTGGCTTTGGGGACAGCNCCAAAAAATCCTGTTAGCGCATCCCCAAATCCCCCAGCGCCCCAAAACCACCTGGAGCACAGCTGGAAAGCTCTGCCACGGCCGGTAATTAGCACGGCATTAATTAGGGTTTACTCACCTATGGAAAAAGCCAGCGAGGAGCTGCCTGTTCTTCACCACCCCAGCCTTTCTCCCACAGTGGGGGAAATTGAAATAAATACGGTCAAATTCCCGTTTTCCCGGGACAAAGTGCTCCTTCAGCTTGGTGCAGTCCACGGAAAACACAACCTCGGCTCCTGCGACAGCAGAACAACGCTCGGCTGGCTATCAGGGAGGAAAACTGTAAAGGAAGGTGGGAATGCAAATCCTCCAGGGCGTTTGGAAGTGGGTGAGAGCTGCCTGGAGAACTGGGCACGCCAGGGAGCCCTCTGGGGCTTTCTTTGCTCCCTTTTAAGGCAGCAGAAACTTCTGGTAACAGTTGAAAACAGAAGTGTCAGCACTGTTTCATCCTGATCAGATTTTAAAGCATTTCTGGGCTATTCCTGTCCCTCCCCTGAGACGCCTGGAGGGGCAGGGGGCTCCCAAGGGACAGAGCAGTGGGGGACAGCGATGCCAGGAGGGTGGCACCAGGGTGACAAGGATGCCAGGAGGGTGGCACCAGGGGGACAGCGATACCAGGAGGGTGACACTGGAGTGAGAGTCATGCCACTCTGGGTGACACCAGGGTGGCAGCGGTGCCAGGGGGGTGACANGCACTCACGGTCAGCACCCCGTCCAGGGACAGCGAGGACGTGATGGTCAGCGGGTCCACGTCGTCCGGGATGCGGTACTTCCTGCTGAACTCGCGCGCGATGAACCCGTGCTCGTCCTGTGCGGGAGGGATGGGAGTTGGGACAAGGGTCACACACGTGTGGGGCTGGGCAGGGAGATATTTGGATGGGGAATCTGAAGGAGGAATAGGGATGGAAGCGAGTTTGGATATAGGGATGGAAGCGAGTCTTGATACAGAAAGGAAAGCAAGTTTTCATATAGAAAGGAAAGCAAGTTTTCATATAGAAGAAAAGATTTGCTGAGCCATTAATATAGTGTAATATAATATACTAATATAGTGTAATGTAATATAGTAATACAGTGTAATACAATATAGCGTAATATACTATATTATATATTATATTATTATATAATATATTGTCACCCTGGTTTTTTAAGATTTTCTAAGCCTTCTGATGTTGACATTCTTGCAGTGAACTTTCTCACGCGCTTTCTGTAAATAACTCATTGTTCTGCATTCCTTCATGGAGGAGGAGAGAGCTGGTGGACTGTTGGTTTCACCAGTGTCATTGGAGAGGTGGCACTGTCACCCTCCAATCCACTGTCACTTTTGTAAAACTATAAATATTGAAGTCAGAAAATAAACTTCCCTTTTTTTCCTTCACCTTGAGAACAGTAGTGAGCTTGTGTTCTTTCGTGTCCTATAGCGACAATATGTAATATATAATATATAATGTATAGTAATTATGTTATGTTATATTGTATTGTATTATATTATATTATGTAATTATATTGTATTATGTAATTATATATAATTACTATAATATAGTAGTAATTATTATATGATTACTAGTATAGTAATATAGTGTAATACAATACAGTATAATAATGTAATTTATTAGCCTTCTGATAAGATGGAGTCCTCATCATTTTCCCCTCCTT